AATGAAAAATTTGAAACAAAGTCTTTGTAAATAGGGAGGGATGGAGGGGTTGAAGGGAGGGCAGGGGAAGGGGGAAAAATAAGAACCAAGAGAAATTATGTAAAGATGCAAATTTCTGATGATGAATGTCATTATACTGCATACCTAAAATGTACCAATAAAATAAATTTTTTTAAAAATTTGTCTATCCATATAACAAAATATTCCTTGGCAACAAAAAAGAAGTCCTGTATCTGCTAGAAAATGGACGAATCTTGAAACTGTTATCCTAAGTGAAAGAAATCAGTCATAAAAACGCCATATTTTATGATTGCATTTGTGTCAAATGGCCAGAATAGGCACATTCACAGAAACAGAAATACAATATCAAAGTGGAAAATCAATACAGGAGCTACACAATTTTTACCAGAAGTTATGGAACGTAAAGTTGTATTTACACTGAAATTTATGGCTTCAAATGGCTTTATTTTAATTAAAAATAAATATTAAAAATGAATTATGTGTTTAACCTAAAACATAATCATTAGGGAAAAAATAAATAAAAACAAAACCTAGAAATAGTAATTAATAAAAATATTAAACAAATGTAATAAATATAACAATATGGGATTTAAAGAAAACAAAAAGCCAGTCCTTTGAAATGACTGATGTCATAGATAACCCCCTAGCAAATCAGACAAAGGAGTACAGGATTGAAATTAGAAAGGTAAAATCTTTTCCAGCTGGGGAATGTTTAAAGTAGTTATGGTGTAACATTATGCACAATATATAGCAACATATTTTAATATTGATGTGATACAAATGCTTCCCCAGTAATGTAATTAATAAAGTTGATACAAGAAAAAAAGGAAGACAGAAGACTCCAGTGCATGTAGAAGAGACAAGAAAAAACTAATATAACACAACAAACACAAATAGGAAGACTCTGAAAGGCAGAAAGCAAAAGTACATAGCTTAAAGATCTCAGGTCCTGCAGAACAACACAGTGATGAGTTCCCTGGATTTTCTTCTTTCTTTCCATATATCACTAAAGTGTATTGGAGAAGCTTAGAACTCAGAACGAACAGGCATTTACCAAAAAAAAAAAAAAAAGCTTCAAGAAAAGCCACTCTTCATAAAGCACCAGGAAGAAGGTGATCTTACTGAACAGAAAATCTTTTGAAAATACCCAGCCTACTCCAGGGAAACATTAATGGAATGCACATTCTTTGCAAGCACCTACTGAACATTCTCCAAGACAGACTCTAGTGGAGAATGTTCCAAGACAGGGTTGTGAAACACCCCCCAAAACTGATTATATGGTATATTTTCTCTGATTGCAATTACACCAGAAAAGAAATCAATACTGGAAAGACAAACCATCCAAACTCTTGAAAATTAATATATTTCTATATAATCCATGGATCAAAGAAGTATCGAGGGAAATTTAAAAAAATAAATGAAAATGAAAATATGGTTCATTAAAATTTGTGGAATTCGGATAGAGCAACATGGCCAGGGAAATTCATAGCACTAAACGTTTACATTAGAAAAGAAGAAAGGTCTTAAATCAATAATTTAAACTCCAACCTCAAGAAACTAGGAAAAGATGAGCAAGGTAAACCCAAAGCAAGCAGAAGGAAGTAATAAAGAGCAGAAATCAATGAAACTGAAAACAGAAAAACAACAGAGAAAATCAATGAAAATATTCTTTAAAATACATCTAGGTTATGTATATAAGGTGTATATGAGCCCGGCATGTAGGCATATGGCTGTAATTCCAGCTACTAGGGAGGCTAAGGCAGAAGGATAACAAGTTCGAAGCCATAGTGGGAAACTTAGAGAGATCCTATCTCAAAATAAAATATAAAAAAGGTTGAGGTGTAACTGAGGAGTAGGGCACTTGTCTAGCATGTCCAAGGCAAGGCAAGGGTCAGTCTCCAGTACTGAAAAAAAAAAGTTTTTTAGAAAGTGTGTAATGAGCGTTCAGGCGGCTGCGTCCGGCTGCAGGAGAAGATGGCGGTCTCCACAGGAGTTACAGTTCCTCGTAATTTTCGCTTGTTGGAAGAACTTGAAGAAGGACAAAATGGAGTAGGCGATGGTACGGTTAGCTGGGACCTTGAAGATGATGAAGATATAACACTTACAAGGTGGACAGGCATGATTATTGGGCTACCAAGGACAAATTATGAAAACAGAATATATAGCCTGAAAGTAGAATGTGGACCTAAATACCCAGAAGCTCCTCCATCAGATTTGTAACAAAAATTAATATGAATGGAATAAATAATTCCAGTAGAATGGTGGATGCACGCAGCATACCAGTGTTAGCAAAATGGCAGAATTCATATACCATTAAAGTTGTACTTCAAGAGCTAAGATGTCTAATGATGTCCAAAGAAAATATGAGGCTTCCACAACCACCAGAAGGACAAACATACAACAATTAGTTTGGATCTCAAACTTGTCTTAAATCAACAACCTTCTACTTATATTAATGTCTTGATTAAATATCACAATACAAATACCCACACATTAAGTAAAAGAATTCCAGCTGGTAAACATGACCTGGACATTTGTAAGAATATATTTAATATATGTACACCCATTATGTTTTCAGGT